TCATTTTCACGCAAGAGAAAAACCTGCAAATGATCAAATTGACAGAGAGCTGTAGGTATCACCTGAAAGAGAAATTTAGATTAATCCTCTATTCTGCTTTCGTGGTTGTACACTCTAAAATTTCAAAGGTGTGGAACCAGTGTGCACTGTTTGTGAACGGAAGCCTCACTTGTTTACAATGGCGTCTAAGAAGACGGACTTTCCAAAGATTAGATCTAAACGAAACGAACAAAAAACATTTTAAAAATAAACTACAGTGATTTCAGACCCTTCAATAAAACTGTACCCCGTTTAGATAATTCTGAACCACCGTTAACTTTTTCAAATTTGAAAGTCTTAGTGGTTCGGAAGTTTTAGGCGGCCAAAGCGAAGAACTTTCACAAATATAATATTATTATGAAGGATTACATTCTGGTATGTATAATATGACGTGTTGATGCATCTCAATGCACGCGCGAACACACTTTTACGTGTCCTCGATTGCGCACAATTTAGCCAAGCCTGATTTTCTAATGTCAATTTTAAGTAACCCTATCTCAGGTGTCTCTTAACATAGACAAAATAAAAAGATTTATTGAGCTTTAAATTGATATGATATGCAGCTTGGGTGGGTAGTAAGAGGCTTTAGCACGATGAATTGGTGCTTGCAATTTCAAGTGTCTTTTGGACGCCATTATTGTTACTGTATAAAAAGGTCACTTCTATAGCGTCCACTTCTCAATGGCTTGGTGGCTCTAGGCGTTTCATAATCAAATAAAATGTGTCAATGTTTCCCATTATGCTGGCCAATCCATGTACAATAATTCATTTAAATGCATACTACATAATATACACCCGTAATCTGACAAAGAACACATAGCTAGGGCCTGCCCTACACAGAAAGACAACCGCTGTGGCTACTAGAATCTAATCGCATTTGTTGGAAGAAGAATCAAACTGTTAAAGATAAACGTGCTTGTAGACCAGATTTAAATACGGTCAAAGCAGGCGTCTCTTTAAAAATTGCCGTGTGTGTGTGTGTGTGTGTGTGTGTGTGTGTGTGTGTGTGTGT